CCAAGAGATCCGATTCCGCACGGAATCGAACGGTGGTGTCGGCTCGCTTTCGCCGGTCGACCGATATGTACACCGTGTCCGAAACAATAACGGATCGCACGGGGACGGCGAGTCCCCTCTATAGGCGTAGAACTAGCACAGGGAAATTCACAGCACACCGAAATTTGGCATTTCTGGGAGAAATTACCGTATAGCTACAAAATATAGTTATCAATTTATTAAATTATTTTCAATATCTCTGCAATAATTCATGTATATTTAGAAGTTTAATCGTCAATTGTCTGCTCTAAATGTAGGAGACGGCTGTATCGTAACGCTATATATATATCGTATATATAGCGTTATATATATAAATATATATCGTATATATAGCGTTATATATAAATATATATCGTATATATAGCGTTATATATAAATATATATCGTATATATAGCGTTATATATAAATATATATCGTATATATAGCGTCAATATATATATATACAATATATATCGTATCGGCCAACGACACCACCCTCGCCTGCCCGGGTCGTCAACGACCCGTATCGGCTACCTGCTCGACATCGGCCGCTCGCCGCGCACCGGCCGGATAATGTTACGCTCGGCTTTTGCCGCGCGACCGGTGCTCTCCGCCGCGAATTTCTTCGTGTATCGAATGTCGCGCGCGGGCCTCTCGACTCGCTTTCAAACGGATGGATTCGAGGAAGGATAAGCTCTGCGCCTGTAATATTGATCCGTGCCAGCTCCTCTCAGCGGCGGAGCAACCCCGTCGTCGTCGTCGTCGTCGCGCTTTCGAGGGATGCTACTCCGCGGCACCGTCGCGCCGCGTACGAAAACGTTTTCGTGCTCTTGGCGCACTTCGTTGTTCCGCCGCGTTCCTTTTCTCGCACGCTGCCGTTACTTCGTTTTTTCGTTCGTTCGTTCCCTTCTCGCCTCTCGCTCGCCGCTTCGCTCTCTCCCTGGCCGTCGTTTTTTTTCGGTGAAACCCGACGAGGGGACAGCGACGGCGAAGGGAGAACACCGCTTGGGGAGACGCGAACCAACCACCGCACACCGTGTGTCCCTTGGCCGAGCCGCGATCAATTCCGAAAGGGACGAAATCTGGCTGCGTGCGTCGTCGTCGTCGTCCTCGTCCTCCTCCTCGCTGGTGTGTGTCTAGGCGAGAACGAGCTTTTGCCGTGGAGAGCCGTGAACGGCGCGGGCTCTCGTTAAGTCGAGACGCGGAGATTCGAATTTCCCCTAAAACTAAAATTTCGACCTTTGACCGGATCCGCACCGCGCTCCGCTTTGCCCTTCGCGATAACGATCGCGCTCCGGTCCCGATAACGAGCTACGATAACGATGCCGTGCGGAGCCGATCGAACGACTGCTTTTTTTTTCTTTTTTTTTTGTCGAATCATCCGGCAGCTGACAATCGTAGTAGGAGCTAGGCGCGTAGAACAGGGGTGTCGAACTCAAAAGCTAACTTGGGCCAAATGAACAATGCTTATAAAGCGCAGTTTATTGTACAAGCGAGAGCTGAGGGATTCCTGAGATCATTTCAAACAACTTTTCCCTTTGCGAAAATGCGATCCGCGGCTTCGTTTGCGAGTTATTAACGGAAAACATGGACCAATGGAGGAGCGAGCGCGGCCAGCGCGCCGCCCTCGCGGCCCATGCCGCGTCGCGCCGGCCGTATGACGCAGCGGCAGTGGCCGCGCGAGGGCGGGACCTCAGCCGCGCGTGATCTCTCGTTGATCAGTGTTTTTCTTTGATAACTCGTAAACGAAGTGGCGGATCGCATTTTCGCAAAGGAAAAAGTTGCTTCGAATGACCTAAAGAATCGCCTCATCGTGTTAACATAATTATAAGACACCCTGTAGGATTGCAGTGCTATACGAGGGTTCCCGCAATTAATCCTATCGTGTCAGAGCTATCGCGAAGAAATCGTAGAACAATTTCGAACTTAGCTTACTCACGAAGTTAGGCTCGCCGAAATCCAAGCCGAGCAAGCAGGCCTGTGTCACGAATCGCGAAACCCTCGGCCGCGGCCCCCGATTATCCGGCCAGATTATTTTCCGCGCCTCGTTGCGCGTTCGAACGCGTCGCACCCTTCCCCGATCCGGAACCCCTTGCCCTAATCGCGATCGCGCGCGCGCGTGCACCGAACTCTCCCGCTACGACCGACCGGCCGCGCAATAGGGCTATATCGTCCGAAGGGGTCGGTGGAACCTGTCGAATCGCGATTAAGCCTCCGTAAGGTCCCCTTCTCGCGTCACGACGCGACGCAACGCGTCGTTGGTGGGTGCGCCCCGCCGTCGGACGTCCCTCGCGCCGTCGCTCCCGACGGCACCGAACCCCTCCGCACGAGCAATTTTTACCCTCGGCGCATAACGAAATCGCGCGGCAGACCGTGTGCCCGAGAAATCCGGCCGAACGAAAATCCCCCCCCGAAATTCCGTCAGCCTGTGTCCTCCCGACCGCGAGAAACGAGATCTCGCCGACGCGGACACCCCTGACCTAACCTGTGCCGCGCGCCCGCCGCCGCCGCCCCCGCCTTGTGCACACGCTGGAGATCGATGCGCGCGCAGCTCTGCCAGCCGAGCCGAGCCGAGGCTGCGCCGCGCGCGCCCCGCGTTGCGATCGGGCTAACCTGTGCACGAATCGAACGCAAATACGTACGTAGAAACGGCCAACGTCGGAACCGGAAATGAACGGTGTGCGTGAGAAAGAAAGAGAGAGAGAGAGAGAAGGATACCGTATGCCGAATTCGATCGAAACTGCTGTCAGGCTTGCGGGATGATTAACGCGGAACCGTGGCCCGGAGTTACGAGAAAGCAGGAGAACCCGGGGACCTAAAACCTTCTAATCGATACGTGCACGATGCCGGCTGCGAGTCATTCCCCGCCTCGCCTCGCAGCGCCTCGCGTCGGCGGAACCGTGCCGACTCGAGCTGTGACCTTACGAGTAAACTGCGGATCTTTATGCAAATGTTCGTGCGTAGTTTCACGAAATTTTGAATTTCAGAATAATTTGCTTCGTCGATTGACAAACACATCGTTCGTTGTTGAAAGAACGTCGACATGCTGTTAGATCTGATTATTTTATAGATTTCCTTGCATTTTAACATTTCTCTTAGCTGCGAATGATACAGAATGGCCGGTTTCCATACGAAAAACGGAGATAAGTCAATTTTAAATAATATCTCTATAATGTATAATTTGTTCATCGGTAGATGTATTGAACGATTAAACATGTGGCTTATTATTTACTACTACCTTTACTGTTATTAGTACTATTATTATATTTACTATTATTTACTACTTATCTTGCGCACATATATAATCTTTATATATATCTTGCGCAATAATACTAAAACAAGTTGACGGAAAGAAACTGCACCCAGTGCGATCGATAAAATGCGTACAAAATTGATCTTAAGGATAGATCGACGAAAGCTAAGTGGTTAAAAAGCTGCTGCATGCCACGTAAGTGCATAAACGTCCGCAGTATATGCTTACGAGATATTCCGGGCACACCCGGATTATGCACGAGATACCCGGATACCGAGATTACCCATGAAATACTGACCATGAGAAAATTACCCGGGCATCTCTTGAGGAAACTGAGCGCACTCGGTTACTTATTAACACTTTCCGAGTGAGAAGACCGAATTTATTTCGAATTTGTAAAGTTTTTAATATAAAACTTGCTCCAATAATATAACTTATTCAAGCGTTTCCCATGAAAGAGTCTCTGAACTTTGCAGAATTGCAAAATAAGAAAGCGGTCGCTTTGACCGCGGTAGGTTTAGTGTTAATATACCTTAACATAACCTTGATATAGCAATATTTCTGAATATATATAGTATATACATATATGTAATATAAATAATATATATGAAAAATATACATATAATATAATGGTAAAATATAGTTACTGATAACAATGTATTATATATTTATATAATATAATAATATATCATTTTGTTCTTGTTATCAGCAATACCATTATATGTACCATTATATTGTATTATATATATTACAATAATATATATTTATTTATTACTATTATTATTATTATTATTATATTTTATATACTTTACCATATTATTATTTCGTTGTAACCAAATGGAAGCCCAACATCGAGATCACACTCGTTTCTTGTTTCTCAAGGAATCGATACACGCCGCAGCGCCGTGAAGACGGCGCGGCGTCCTCTCGTTGTCCGCTGCGCGAGCGATTCATTGGCTGTTCGCGCGCGATCGAATGGCCCCGGCAGAAATAACTCCGGGATTCTCCGGCCGGCGTAATCGATACCGTTGCCTAAAAACAGCGGCGTTGACAATCGGCGTCCGTGAAGCGTTCGCAAAATTTACAACGCGACGCAAAGGGGAACCGAACAACCGCTTCGGATCGTTCGGCCGTCGCTCGGTCGAGCGGGCTGCTTCGATCAGCGAAACGCCGCTCCGTCGGCAAGATGGCGTCGGCGACGCTCTCCCCGAGAGCTCCCGCGTCGCGTTTCCGTTCGGTGGCCGTCGAAAAAGCCGAAGGCCGATCGGAACCTACCTCGATTGTTTCGCCGACGCACGGAGGGGGGGGGGGGGTGGCAGCCGCGATTCATCTCTGCTCTCTGTTGTTTCCGTTTCCGTTGGCCGTTTTCTGTTTCCTCGTAACGACAGCGGGCGAAGCGAACGGTCGAGTTTTCCGCGCACCAGATAACCCGAACGAATCCTTGCGAATTTCTTCGCCGGCCGTGTACAAACGATCCGTTCTCAAAAATGGCGACGTTCGTCAGACGTGTCAGATTTCCCATCCGGAAGCGATACAGTAAGTTCTTCGATCCCCCGCGATTTCCGGCCCCGATAGAGACTCTCCTCTATGCGTCACGTAACCACCCGGGCAACAGAGGCTCGGCCCACGGACCGGCGACGGCCCTCCCCCACCCCGCTCCGCCCGCCGCGGAACCGAATGGACCTCGGAGACCGATGCTGAGACCGAAAACCGTTTGTGTGTTCGCAGGCAAATCACCGTTCTTCCCTAGTCTCGACGACCAGACCGGAACCCTGCTGGAGGACTCGAACGCGCCGAGCCATCTGGACGGCGTCGGGGTCGGCGTCGGCGTCGGTGTCGGCGTCGGCGTCGGTGTCGGTGTCGGTGTCGGGGTCGGCGTCGGTGTCGGCAGCGGGATAACCGGCTCGCAGGCAGCGCCGCCGCTATCCTCGCCGAGTCGGAGCAGTCCTCACAGCCAGGGCAGCGAGATCGGGGAACGATTTTCTAGAAAAGTCTTCGTCGGCGGACTGCCGCCGGACATCGACGAAGGTACGTCGCCCTTTTCCCTTTTCCTTCGACCTCTTTGCACTCCGTTGCTCGCTCCCGGGAGACGCCGTAATTCTTTATCGTACCGTAGAGAATTGTTAGAAATAAAATGTTGTTCTCTCTTGCGAATGTGTTCCTCGATGTCCGCAAATTCATATAAATCGAATATTATATTATTATTTGTAATTATAATATTGTATTTTATTACTATTATATATATATATAATATTAGTTATATTTATATTAGTTATATATATTATATTATATATTATATCATAACATAATATTATTATATATATAATATAAAGGTTTGCAAGCGCACGTTTTCGCGACAAAGCGTTTGCCGATTGGCTGGTAGATGGCGCCCGGGATGGCGCGGAGTGCAGTAGGTTAATTTCTCCGTGAACATTTATTTCCCTACGGTTTCTGATCGTGTCGTTTCGTTCTCCGCAGAGGAGATCAAAGCCAGTTTTCGTCGTTTCGGATCGCTGGTGGTCGACTGGCCGCACAAGGCGGAGAGTAAATCCTACTTTCCACCGAAAGGCTACGCCTTCCTGCTTTTCCAGGTAACTTCGAGAAAAAGAAATGCCGCGTACCGGCGGTTCTCCGTTCGTTCGTTCGTTCGTCCGTTATTACGCGGGCGAAAGTAGCGCGCGAACACACGATCACGATTTTGCTCGTGTCGACGTTTGTTTCTTACCGATCTTCTTTCCGCGATCCTCCACGACAGGACGAAACATCCGTGCAACAGTTGATCGACGCGTGCATCCAGGACGAGGAGAAGCTGTACCTGTGCGTCAGCTCGCCGACCACCAAGGACAAGCCGGTGCAGATCAGACCGTGGCGACTGAGCGACGCGGACTTCGTCCTCGACGCCTCGATGCCGCTCGACCCCCGTAAAACGGTGTTCGTCGGCGGCGTGCCCCGACCGCTGAAGGCCCTCGAGCTCGCGACCATCATGGACAAGCTCTACGGCGGTGTGTGCTACGCCGGCATCGACACCGATCCCGAGCTCAAGTATCCGAAGGGCGCCGGCAGGGTCGCCTTCAGCAATCAGCAAAGCTACATAGCTGCCATATCGGCCAGATTCGTTCAGCTGCAGCACGCTGACATTGACAAAAGGGTGAGTCCGCGCGAATGTTTCTTTCTTTCTTTTTGGTACGTCGCGTTTCGTCGATGAGTCTCGACCCGTGTGGGAATTATAATGTGTTCTCGTTTCGTCAAGGTCGAAGTGAAACCGTACGTTCTGGACGATCAAATGTGCGACGAGTGTCAGGGACAACGCTGCGGAGGCAAATTCGCGCCGTTCTTCTGCGCCAACGTCACCTGCTTGCAGGTAAGCCAGTCACTTTCAAGATAGAAAGAGAGAGAGAGAGAGAGAGAAAGGTAACAGAGAGTAAACAGAGAGAGAGAGAGAGAGGTAAACAAAGAGCCAGAGAGAGAGAGAGAGTGGAAGGTAAACAAAGAGTCAGAGAGAGAGAGAGAAAGGTAAACAAAGAGTTAGAGAGAAAGGTAAACAGAGAGTGTGTGTGTGAGAGAGAGAGAGGTAAATAGAGAGTGCGAGGTGTACAGAGAGCGTGACAGAGCGAAGGAGGGAGTAAAACGAGAGAAAATGTAAACATGTCGCTTTTATTGCAGTACTATTGCGAGCATTGCTGGGCAACGATTCATTCTCGACCGGGTCGGGAGTTCCACAAACCGCTGGTGAAGGAGGGTGCGGATCGACCTCGAGCCGTGCCTTACCGCTGGTGTTAACCCCAGCTGCGTTGTCCCTAATTATCTCGCAACCCTAGCTAATTAACTACCGCTCGTACGAATCCCCCCATCCCACCCATCCCCCAGCCCCAATCAACCTCCCTCCAAGCCAGGCATCCTTCCGCGAGACCCGCTACCTATCATTATACCCCCCACTTTGAGCCCGCAACCTCGCGTTAACCGAAGTCGAACTCGACCGAACTCGGTTTACCTCACCTCCCCGCGCCCGACAGTCAGCCACACCTCCTCGTCACTTACTTTATCTATCGAGATACAATCCGAAAATCACACAGTTTCTACTACTGCTACCCACTCGATCGTCGGTAACTAGCACTATTCTATTACTCTACCACTATTATCGCCTACCACTATTACTGCTCTATCGCTACTACTACTTACAACTACTACCTACTACTACCTACTACTACTACTACTACTACTACCACTACTACTACTACTACTACTACTACTACTACTACTACCACTACTACT